AACTGCCCGTTAGAACAGACGTGTGTGCAGTCGAGGTGGCATTATGCCCTTTCTTCTTAATTGACATGTATTTGTTGTTCATGAAAAGCTGTTTTTATTTTATCAGTGATGCAATAAACAATTAATAGCATGTGAATTAAAGAATTTAAGGATTTTTGTTCAACTAAAAGTAACCTTAAAAATTTTAGCACATTTAAACCTAAATAAACATCAAAAATGGCTACTCTACACAGAGTCCTTCCAAAAAAAGGAAATCAGAGGTTTATGTCCCCCAAATTCCATTGACTTACCAGATTCTGTTGTGTTAATATTGAGGACTGAACTCTGATTTTTTTCTTTTGCTAAAAACTCCTTCTTAAGGAGGCCAGCTGGGTCAGGCTGACAAAGGGTAAATTCCCACTAAGCAGCTTTTGTTAACCAAATGAAGCAGTGGTTTACTTCCCAACCTGATTCTGGTATGGCATTAACATCACTTAAAAGATAAGAAGCCCCTGTCTTAACTCAAGCATCCTAGCAGATGCCTATTCTTAAATTTAAAGCATTTTAAAACATCCTAGCAGGTGCCTATTGTAAATTTAAAATGTCCTCCTGTCTGGACCTCCCAGAGTGCTCATACCCTTATCTTAAAGTAAGCATATCCTTTCTGGTCTTCTAGATAAAGTCTAACTCTCTCAGCCAATTGCCAGCCAAAGAATCTTTAAACCCACATATAACCTGAAGCCCTCGCTTTGAGAGTCCCACCTTTTTGGGCCAAACCAATGTCTGCCTCTCATGTATTGATTTGTGACTTTGGCTGTAACCCTTGTCTCTCTGAAAATGTATAAAACTGAACTGTAACCCAGCCACAGCGAGCCCACTTGCTCAAGGCTTCTTGAGAGTGGCTCCGGGTCATGGTCCTCAAATTTGGCTCAGAATAAACTTCTTTCAAATATTTCAGGGCTTGGATTTTTTCCGTCCACAATATGGAAGTTTTTTTCTAAATTATTATTAATATATAGTACTAATATCCGTGATACCTTTTGTAGTGATCAGCTCTCACTTGCAACCACCTTGAATCTTAGGAACAGCCTTGGGAATGTTGCCATATCCCCCAGTGCCGACAACCTGTAAGATTCAGAAAATTCTATTTTCAGCCTCCCAGGAAGCAGATGTGATTTAGGGTCTGCCTATTTTTAAACCCATGTGGGACTTTTGCATGAACAGTTTTCTTGGGGACAAAGGGATGCACTGGACATCCATGGCAACAGGGTCGATGCCCCTGTGGAGGTCACCACACTGGACCAAGTGTCGGTTACAGCAGAGGCTGCAGCTCCGTGGAGGCCTGTTCTGCTGTGCAGTGTAGGACGTTTGTGGCTCCGACAGGCTCAGTGTCTGTTTCTTCAACTTTCCCAAGAACTAAATGTGCTTATCTCTTAACGACCCACTTGTGTGTTAATTCACTAACAGGATTATGTTGTCTGCAGCCAGGACCCAATCAACTCCTCATTTGAGAGTTCTTTCTTAACATTTGCACAAGGCTCACAAAGCCACTCAAATTAGTCATTTAATGTTACTCTAACTCTTGCTGGTTTTATTATTTAACATTATTTATTTCATGCTAGTGATTCTTACACTTCAGTATGCCATGTGCACAAGTCCTTGTGGAATATTCTTTTTACATCTGCTTCAGATTAACTTGTTCTTTTATTTAGACTTATCCTATAAAATAATGGCTTGGAATTTTGTTTTGAATTCATGGAAAGACGCATTGCTATGAAAATAAAAAACATTCATCTCTGCACAATTTAAAATTCTCTTCTATTTGCCAGTAACAAGAGCTCCCCACTTGGGGAAACTGTTCCATTCCACACCTTTCCCTGTTGCGAGCTCTCCCTGTCGGCTCCGGCTGGTGGCGGAGCCCCAGCACTGACTGGCCCAGTCCAGACACAGCAGCCTGGGGGGCGGGGGTGTATCTGGGATTTTGCATCTCAGAAAATATCTTTTTATTTTATATATATATAATTAATAGTAAAAGGTTCTATGGCCTTGATAATTTTCATTCAGAATACCATAAATATGGCTTCATATTTTTTTAATTTCAATGTTTTAGTTGAGGAAATTTTTTAAAACTTTGATGGTTTTTTAAAAAATAAATTTTCATCCTGTTCTTCTATAATTCTACATTAAGCATGTTTTAGGATTCTTGGGAGCCTGGTCTTTGTCATTCATATTTTCCCTCTGTCCATTTCTTTCATCTGAGCAGGAGAATCCCTTGACCTAATCAATAATTCTGTTCTCTTCTGTCCCCGGTGTGCTGTTTACTTCATAATCGCGCCTTTTTGTACATCTAATAACGCTTCTTGAGACGCCGCTTGTGCGCTCTGCTCCTGTTGCTGTTTCACTGTGCTCCGTTGGCCTTGCGTCTCGCAATGCAGGCGTCTGAGTTTGGCCTGTTACTGCTGAAGCAGTTTGCTCTCCATCTTTCTCCCCTTCCCCATGGTATCTTCGTTTGACAAGAATCCACTTGCTTTAAACGCTTTAAACCTTAGCGCTGGATCCTGTTGTGGCCTGTAAGCGTGAAGATGGGGTTTTCGTACTCATGTGTGAAATGTGCCTCCCTCACGAGTAGCATGCTGCACGTTTTTTGTGAAAAAGAGAATGTTCTCTGGCTCTGGAGCCTCCCTGAGTTCTGTGATCTTGCTCTTTGCAAACAGCCACACAGGGACATCTGGTTTATGAGTTCTGCCAGAGATTTTATAGGTGAAGTGTTCAATTTTTCACTGTGAGATAAATTTTGTCCTTTTATGTTAGTTGAGTTATTTCAGTGGAAAATAACTTGAGGAATTGGTACAGGGATTGGTAAAGGACAGTACTTAAACATTCTCATGTAGGAGACAGTCTTGATCTTGGTGGACCGTAGGTTTTTTTCTTTTAAATACACCACGGAGATAAGTCTGTATTGGCCCACCTCTGACATAGTGGCAACGGTAAAAACAAAAGCAAAACAGCAGTTGTCAGTGTTGTTGCTTGTGAGAGGAGAGTGCAAACAAGGCCTGGATTCCGGGCTTTTCTGTGTGAGCGGCTTAAATGCAGAGACTGCACCCCCGTTGATCTTCTCTGTGAGGTGGCACCTGCAGAGCCTGGGTGTCCTCGAAGGCCTTATGGCCTAGCAGGACCCACGGGTGGCGGTGCACTGTGCTTGCAGCCTTCGGGCGTGAGCCACGCTCCTGTGCACTCAGACACACCGCGTTCTCTGGGGATGAGGGCACGCAAGGCTTTGAGGAGGAAAGCAGTTCACAGGCAGACCTGGCGGCAAGCAAAGCGCCACGCCGCGCCGCGCTCCCACCCGCCCTCATCTGTGAAGTGGGATAGTAAGGCCTCTGCCTCTGGTCGCTGTGAAGATGACATCTGTAAGGCACTTCGGACTTACTTACCCCATAAGTTAGCCATCTAACTATAATCGCTCTGCGTGGAGTCCCAGAAAAATCACTGAGGGAGCCGTCATTTGTCGCTCACAGAGCTGCCTTTCCCAGGCGCCTGCCCGCGCTAGTGGAAGGGAACCAGCGATGCAGACGTTCCGCTGTCTGCAGTCCAATGGATGAGACGGACACACCGCCAGGGGAATGCGAGGGGTCCTGCAATGAGGGAACCAGTGGCAAAGACGAAGTGCCTGTTGATTAAAGTCCCCCTTCCGTGCGCAGCACGGCTTCCTGGAGTGGAGGGCAGGCAGCTTCCAGTCGGCGGCCACCGCTCTGGGCCACGCCAGAGCCAGGCAGAGCAGGCGGGCCTCCGCCGCCGCTGCGCCAAGCTGGCGGGCAGGCGTGGGAACGCCGTGTCCTCCCGCGCCCGCGCTCCCGCCAGCTGGGAAGCTGCGGCCCGCCGGCGGAAGGCCTCTGCGCGTCCGCGGGTGCCCCGGGCGCGCGCCGGGCCCAGCGCAGAGGACTGCGGGAGCGCTTGGCAGCGCGCAGGTTTCCTGCGCCGGGGCGAATGGCGCGAGGAGAGGGGCGCGCGCCGCCAGAGCACGCCGCTCGTCCCGCGTGCACGCGCCTGCCCTGTCGTGCTCAGTGAACGGCTTTCCATCGGTCCTTAGGGAGCCACTTCACAAACTACAAAGGGAAAACAAATTGTCAAAATAAAAACGAAGACTAAATTCTGTCCCAAACATCAATGAAACAGTTAAACATCCATCGATGGAACATTCTCAATGTTGGAGAAAATGAGGCAAATCAGGCCGTGCCCTTTCCCTCAGGAATCCTAGTCTGGGGTGTGTCATGAAAGAAAACAAAACGGCACTCTGAGGTAGAAGCCCAAGTTCACGCAGGGGTCTGGGACCAGCCCTGGGGAGTATGTCCAGGCGCCTTCCTGCAGGGGCTGAGACCGAGCCGGCGCTGAAGAGTGACTGGCAGCTGGCCCGCACGGGGCACCGCGCTAGGGCGGCACGCAGGGCCCTCCTCCCACGACCGCGGGAGCGGCAAGGCTGCCTCAGGCTGGCACCCGCTGTGACCGCCAGCCTGCCGCGGAGGGGCGCAGGCTGGCAGGGAGGGGCCTGAGCGGGCCTGCGGTGCGCAGGGCGCTGCAAGGGAGTGTGGGCCCTGGGACGGCAGCGCTGGGGTCCAGCTGTGAAGCCTCAGGCTAATCGCATTCTTTTAGTTTATGTATATTGCTTGTATTTAGGAAGTTGGGTTGAGCCACTGATCCCAGTAAATTTTGGGGATGAAACAAAAGGGCAACCGCATAAGGGGCCAACCAATCAATGTAAAAGGCAAGGCGGTGGGCACAAGGGGCCAACCAATCAATGTGAAGGGCAAGCGCATGGGCACAAGGGGCCAACCAATCAATGTAAAGGGCAAGCACATGGGCACAAGGGGCCAACCAATCAATGTAAAGGGCAAGCACATGGGCACAAGGGGCCAACCAATCAATGTAAAGGGCAAGCGCATGGGCACAAGGGGCCAACCAATCAATGTAAAGGGCAATCGTGTGGACAGGTTCTGCACCTAGGGCATAAAGGGCTCTGTCCCCCAGTGCGCGGGGTCTTCGTCCCAATAGAGGCCGCTGTGTAGGTGCTCTGGGACTTAGACCCTAGCTTGAGCTGGTCAATAAAACTCCTTTTGATGATTTCAGCCTCAGTGACCCTGTCTCTTTGTTCTGTGGTACTATGGTTTCCCGCTCTAACACAGGCATGGCAGATAATCAGTTTCCCACTCTGAGAGTCCCGCTCCTCTCACCTGCGGGCGTACTCGGCAGCGCCATCGTGTCCCTTCCAGCAGAGGTGAGCGTCACACAGGCCGGGATGGGCTTAGCTGAATGAGTGCTGTGTTCAGCTGGCTTCACCCCAGGATGTGCAGCTCCTCTGGTCTGGGCAGGAAACCTACAAGGGGACGGCCATGCTCTGAGATTCAATTCCACACAGAGAGTAGGGCCAAATCCCACAGCAAGTGTTCCCTTGCTGAGCGCTGTTCTCATGGGTGGATGTAGCTGGATCACGAGAAAAGTGAGTGTTTGGATTCCCATGTCTCTGGCAAAGCAGGATTATCGCAAACCATGTGTTATCAACAGGGCCACACCAAGGGAGGCCCTGGGTAGGCCACGGGTGGATGCACTGTCCGTAGAGGACAGTAAACAATAACAAAAACTCGCTAAAAGTTGATTTGTTGTTTTATGATCACTATTCTGTAGAATGTCAGCAACAACATGCTTTTCTCACAAAAAAAAATCTTATGTTGGTCTGAGCTCTAAACAATTGTCATGGTTACTCTTGAGTTTTAGTAGTATAAATGTAAGCCTCAAATTAGCACATTTTCACTACATATTCTTTTTTTTCTCAGTATCTTTGTTTATTTACTCATTTAGTACAAATAAGTCTTTTTCTACAGAATAGTTGAAAATGTGTGCATACATCATATATAGACAATACCCTTTACACACTTTAAGTATAAATTGATACTTTAAAAACTTTGCATTCATGACTTATTCAGAGTTTATGACCATTTGATGCAGTTTGGTCAGACTTTGAAGTTAATAAACTGCATATTTCAACTCTTTACTATTTAAATAAATTATTTTATTTCACATCACTTTTTATATATCCACTTTTAGTCATATAAGAACTCATAATTACAATGAATATATCCCCAACTGCACCTCTGTCTCCAACTTGTTCCACCTCCCTAGATACCACTATTATCAGTTACCAGTTTGGTGTGTATGCTTTCAGATCTTTATGTAAGCATTTATATAGATATATAATTATATACACACTCATAGATGTTTTAACAATATATACATTGTATATACACATACATATATACAATTTCACAGCTTGCTTTTAACATTTAATGTCAATAAATACAGATTTATCTGATTCCCTTTGACTACCACATACTATTCCACAGTGTATATAATGGAGACATCTGACTGAGAGTAGCCAAAACTCCTCTAACTATGACTCCAACAATATAGACACTTTGTCATTTCTCTAACAAGAAGGCCAAAACTAGTATTTCCAGGGCTGGCTCAGTGGCTCAGCAGTGTCCACCAGGGACCAGATTCTTTTTCCCTTTTCTAACCATCCTCACATGTTGGCTTTTTCCTTCATGCTACCTAAGCTCTGGGCTCCATTCATGCTGTGGGTCAATGCAAGAGCAAGAGGGCCAGGACAAAATACTTTCCTTTTATCAGGAAGACCAGTAATCTTCAACATGCTTCCATTACATCTTACTGCAATTGGGTCATTTCCACACCAGCTGCCAGGGAGGGTAGGGACATGAGTGTCCAGCAAAGGGGAAACAAATGTTTGTCACTGAAGTAGACCTATAATAATATGTCATTGAGACTACACATGTTAATGAAACAAAACTATTCTGGCTATAAGGGGGAAGAAAGGGATGGCCGATGGATGGGCAGCTAACACAGTCCACCAAAGAAGATATTATTTAATTTCCCATACTCATGTACATTTAGATTATGTCTACTCTGTGCTATTAAGAACAGTGCTTCAGTGAAAATCACTGGATGTGCTTCCTTGTTCATGTATGCATTCATTTCTTCCACAGAAATATAATGAAGAGGAATTGATGTGTCCTAGGAAATGAAATATTTCAATTTTAACATAAACGGCCAACTGCTCTCCAAAATGGTCGTACCATTTTACAATCTTTCACTACCTATCTTCAGAAAAATACTATGCTCTACGTGGAAGAGGATTTGAAGAGCTCCATGTTGTACAGTGTGCCGCATGTCACACCAGCTCCGCGACACATGTGCGTTTCAATGGCAAGGTGGGAGTTGTTCAGGCTCTCCTCAGCCCTGTGGTGTTTCATGTTCTTGTATTCCAACAGTGCACTCGGAATGAGCAGTGGCAGCAGTGATTACAAAGACAAACGCACAAAACCAGAGTTCTTTCAACACCGTGATTGTATGTGACCACGTGGAATTTCCATTTGTGCTGAAAATTTAAAACAATGAAGCAGTAGACAGCACAAGACATATTTTTTGTTTGGTAAGTTCAAACTTTATTTCACATGTACAATAATTTATTGAATTTAATATATTTAAAATTGAATGTTTTTTTTTCTTTTTAATGTGTTAATTGTCTTGAAACTCAAGAAAATATTACTGGTTATTGCATGATCATTGATGAGAATAACTTTGTTGAATAGAGGAAGGAAAGAAGTGATCCATGGGGTGTGCCCTGCACGCTCACCGTGGACAAGCAGGCGTTAACCCTGGCAACACAGTGAACGGCCATTAGGCCCCAGGAGAGCTAGCTGGGCTTCAGCCAGGCCCTGCCCTCACCTGCGCAGCCTCAGGGGCCTCACTGACGCTCTCTGGCCGGGTTCCTTCATGGGCAAAGTAAAGCCCTGGGAGAAAAGGACCTTTCAGAATTGAGATCAAATGCTGACTCTGAAACAAATGGTGCAGTCATGAACCCTGAGGCACTTGCAAAGTAGGCAGAAAGATGAGACATGCACACTCATAAAGAGTTAAGCAGCTATAGAAGAGGCCAGTGCAAAATAAGTCACAATGCAGACAATGACAGATGTAAATGGAGATAGAGTAAATGGCGCCAGAGACTCCTGCCTTTAGTCTAGTCCTGGAGGGACCACAGGCCCGAGGCAGCTGCGCAGCTTCTAGAGGCGGTCGCTCAGTCATCTTTGATTTGCAACTCCAGGGCCATTTCCCTATGGCTTAAAACTGTCTCCTTGCAGTCTCTTGGAGCCTGAGCCTTCTGTAATGCAGGGAAGGACGGCTGGCTCTGCTATCCCCCTCTCAGATACCAGCGCACACTCCCCACTGACAGAACTGTGCCCTGTGCCAACCACGCGTCCCAGGAGCGCGGGGCAGAGGGGGTGGAGGGAGGGACGACAGGCTGGCTGTCCAGCGTTCTCTCCCACCGCCTGGCTCCAGCTGTTCTCAGTAGCTCGGGGCTGGAGACACGGCTGGGCTTCCCCGCTGCGGTCCGCAGGGAACACTCCCTTCCGCCTGCTCCCGCAGTGCAGCAGGAATAGCTGGCTGGGGCGTGTGGCAGCCCAGACACCTCTGGGAAGGGACAAGAGTGAGCGCGGGGCCTGGACTTGCCTTGGAGTTCCACAGCAGAAAGCTGATTTAATTTTTCTCTCCTACATCCCAGAAACTAGCTTTCCCATAGCAGGTTACAGCGCAACCAGCTGCCCGGCCCTGATGGCTGTCCTGCTGCGGTTCCTTTGTTCTACTGATTAGGCTGCTTCCTGCATTCTCTCTCCTCCAGATTGCCAGTCCCTGAGAGAAAAGGGACACCGGGCTACACCACACCCAGGCAGCTCAGCGTTCTCTGAAATGCAATTAAATGTTCAGGAAGGCGAACAATCAATTTTTATAATCTACACCAAAACTCCTTCCTAGTGGACCCTGGGTGGTGCTGCGGGAAGAGAGCCCGGGGCAGCCACAGAAGGCCAAGGCCGGTGGCATCTGTGAACCCTCTCTGCCCCGCTGCCCACCCGGGCCCTCCAGGCCTCGCCCTACAGAACACGGGCGCACCCGGCCGCTCAGCCTCACCCCCCGGGCGGCTCTGCACCCCGGCGGCTCTGCACCCCGGCCTGGTCCCTTCCACCTGGCAGCCAGCAGCACCTAGAGGAAGGGCCTGAAGGAGCCGCCCTGTGCTGCATCACATTATTCCTCCCGAGAGACCCACACAGCCACACGGCCTCCTGTATAGATGGGCCTTGTAGCCACCACATTCTCCAGTGATGGTGCCGCAGAGCCAGGCAGCACCTGCCCCAGGGCCCGGCCCCCAGCCCGTCACCGCAGCAGGGGATCCCCCAGAGCAGTCCCCCGGTGGCCCCGCTCACCCTGCGGGAACCCTCAGACCCCTGTGAAGGGCCCGCCCTGCTCTGGTGGCCTAGAGCTGCCACACCTGCAGCCGCCCATGGCTCAGCTCTGCTGGAAGCCAAGTGCGGGGACAGAACGAGGCTAGACGTGCCTGGGCCTGCGGGCCACTCGGGGGCTGTGTCTCCTGTATGTGGATCAGACCACCTCTGAGCGCTCGGCCATGAATCCTCGAGTATTTCTAAGCACCTTTTCAGGGACGCGCAAAACAGCGTCAGGAGCACCCAGAGGCTTGGCGAGGAGATGATGAAGCACATGTCAGACAGGAGGGCAGCTGTGGCTGTGTCTGCAGAGGAGAAGCCATGGTGTGCAGCCAGGCAGACCTGCGTTGGATCAGGCCTGTCGCCTGCTGCTTGTGAGCCCTGGGCAAGGTGGTGATAGAAGATAGCACAGTGCTTAACAAGGTGACACAATGAAATCTTCAGTAATCAATGTTACAAAGCTCCATGTGGGCTGATGACTCCAGGAAGACTTGGAGGAGGCAGGGTTGGGAGTCCCTTAAGTGCATGGGTGGGATTGGTTGGGGACACGGAATGACAAGAGGGAGGGCTGTGGGGCTGGGGTAACAGGGGCAGGGGTGTGAGCTTTACTGAGACAGAAGATGTGGACAGTGAGGGACAGTGAGACTCAGGACAGGTCAGGACTGTGGAGAGGGCTCTGGGCCGCGTCACGCCCAACGTGGCTGAGGCAAGTGCACCTCCCTGTGAGGCTGTTCCACATTCTGAGAGGTCGGACTAGCCCACCTTCCACGGCAGAGCTATTGTCCTTCCTCAGCATGGGCCAGGCCACCGGGACATGCCAATTCTGCTTACCTAATAAAGGGAAACAATATTTTGTTATTAACACATGTGGTAGAAAGAAAATAATACAATGTGTTATGTTTAAATACCGAATGTCAGAAACATTGCACTCATCTGGATCCCTCAGGGTCTGCTGTAGGCTTGTCACCGGCCTCCTGGGCTGCGCAGATAACCAGTGCCAGGAGTAAGTCTGAGCACATCGCATTTGTTCTCTCCCTTCATCTTCATCCTGGCCCTAAAAGGCACCAAGAGAGTCGCACAGGCCACCAAATCAGCAGCAGCATCAGGATGCACATGGCTGGGGGCGGCCCTGGGCCTGGCCTCCCTCTGTCCCCCAGGTGGAGCCCCAGGAAGAACAGGAGGCCAGGGGTCCCAGGTTGGGCTCTGCCCCTCGCCTGGGGCCTCCTCCCCACCCACCCCTTCTAGCTGTCCCCTGTCCATGCTTTCTCCTGCAGGGTCACACCAGCGCCTTCTCACAGTCTCACAGGATGCTCAGACTGACTGCCTCTGTCAGCTGACCTTGGGTTCCATGCCAGCGGCTAGCCAGACTGACAGCCACTGCCCCGCCAGCGTGCTGGAGTCTGCTTTCATGGTGTGCACTGCAAACCTCAGCATCCTGGAGAAAGAAGATCCACATAGCTGAGCCAAGAGAGGGCTTGCATTTCCTGAGCCCTGCCATCTGCCAGAAATGCAGAAGTGTAGGACTCTGCTGGTGGCTCTGGCTTTACCCAATGATGCATTAGAAATTCTAGAAAAGAAAGATGTTTTCCTGATAATGGGTTGACTCCATGTCCCTGACTCTGGACAGAGAGGAATAAAATAAAATAAATTTTCCATCTTAAAATCTATGTTCCTCTTACCTTAAAAATGAAAGTGGATTTCTCTGTGTCTGCTCTCTCCTTTTAAGAGAGACATTTTCTCAGTTACTGTTCTGACCAGACAAGGAAGCATATGTTCTGCAGAGCACAGGGACTAGAGTACCGAACCTGCTCTGATAATTCCATCGGCAACATGCCTAGTGTGTGCATCGGAGATAAGGGTTTAATGATGTACCCTCGATGCCAGATCTGGGAGTAACAGGGAGGGTGGTCACAGTTCACTGAACACATGCTACACATCTTTTTTCGAATTTATTATTATTTGAGTTAGAAAGGTTTCTTATTACTAGATAAGCAGGCCAGGAGCTTCAAGGTGCAGGCTAGCTGACGGTAGCTGCCTGGGGCCCCACACGCACAGCCTCCCAAGGCCCTGGAGTCCGCTGTGTGGGGCCGCGCTCTCTGGTCACTGGGGCGCAGAGACGCAGCCTGGGGGGTTCCAGGAGGGGTGCTTCCTTTAGGAAAGGCAAAAAGCTGTGTGGAAGAGCTGTTTCTTGGGGCCTCTTTCTCTCAGAGACACCAGGGCTTGCTGCTCTCTCCAGCTGTCTGGGCGGCCAGGTGACAGTGTGCACACACATAGGGGTTGAGCATGAGGTGCAGACGAGCCCAGGGAGCATGTAGTATGTAGTATGTAGCACTTTCACGGCTGTGCACTTGTGTCTCAGCATGTCCCCCATGAATTTGGTGCTGTATGTAGCAGGGAAACACAGACACTGAAGGAATGCACAGTTTAGATGTGGAAATAGGATTATAACAAATGAGGGAAGTAAACACTAGAGAATGAGTGGACACTCAGTAAATCAGAGAGGGCTTCTGGGAGGAGGTGAGATTTGAGTTGTGTCTTAAACTGTCACTCGGTAGGTATGCATTGCTTGAATAAGTCCAAGAACACCTATCACTCATCTTACCTCCCAGTGCCCTGACTTCTCTTGGGTAACGCCTTTTACCAGTCGGCACCATCCATCCTCACAGTGGTTGGTCCCGGGTGAGCATAAGTCTCAGTCAGGCCGTGAGAACAACATGCGGGCCTCGTGCACATGCCATTTGCAATAAAGAGTCTCTCTTTTTGCTGGATGTGCACAGGGAAGATGTTGTCCTGGAACCCTGCAGGTGACCCCAAGAAGGTGAGGCTGGCAGGTAGGAGATAGAGCGAAGCGATAAAGGAGCCACATCCTGGCCCATCACTGAGCTCCATCCGGACATGATCAAACCAGTCCTGATCTTGGACTGTTCAGTTACTCCAGCAAACAAAGTCAATCCAATTCGAATGGGGTTTTCTGCAACGGGAACTTTAAAAGACAAAGACAGAGAGTTGTCTTAGCAAACACTTGCCGTGGCTCCTCAGGGAGACTGGAGCCAGTCTGAGCCAGGTGCCTCTGAGGGCTGAGCTGTGTGCCTCCATGCTAGTTCTTTTCCCTCTGGTATCCCAGGGCCTACAGTCCCCACGGCTATGCAACGCATTCTCATTTCCTGCTTAGTCCGGTAAGATTTCAGTAAAAACATATGTTTTGAGTCTCCTGTCATATATTTGACAAAAGTTTACAGTAACTCCCAGGCCTATAACCTGCGGTGGCAAGGAGTTCTGACTTCCTCCCGGGTCTGCAGACATGAGACTGGCTCACATCCCCGGCCCCCACTCCTGCGGAAGAGAGGGCCCCACTGGATATCTGCCACTGCTCAGAGCGCTCGCCTGCTCCATCCTGGTGTTTTCTGCCCTGAGTTTTGCCTCTTAGGTGGCAGTTTTCTCTCCCACAGGGCAAGTAGGTATTTGCTCTGCTCACTTTTTATAGTTAAAGGAACCTCCAGCGTGGGTCTGAGCTGAGGGACTGTGGAAGACATGACACCTCCCGTGTCACACTACGAAACATCCCCTTGTCCTACACAATTTGAGACTTTATGTTTGGCATCCTCACTTGCTCCCATATGGGCCGTATTGTTTATGCCTTTCCCTTCATCTGAAATGCTCTAGCCCATCCCTCCCACCATTCTCTATGTCCTCCCCTTTCAGGGACCAGATGAAATCCTTCTTCCTCCGAGATTTCCCAACCTGTGTTCTGGAGTAATGACCTGGCCTCTGCATTTGACCCCCTGGTGCCTCTTCAGTTGCCCGCCCCTCCGCCGCCTGTCGCTGTGCTTACCTCCCCCACTCACCATGGCATCCACCGAGAACACAGCTCCTGCCTCAGTCTCTTGTGGAAATGTGGGTGGTTAATAAATGTGTGCTAAAATAAATGTAATTAAACCAAACATGGAGTAACCTGAAAAGTTGCAGTGGTGAAATAATTCAGTGCACTGATGTCCCTAGACAGGAGTGACCCGAGGTTTGCGCTGCAGCGGCAGCCAGCACTCGATGACCCGCGCGGCCTCAGACGGAGCTGTGCGCGGGCGCGCGGGCACGCTGGGGCCCGGGCAGCATTGATCACTCAGGGCTCCATTCGGAGAGGCCTGTGCCGTGCCAGAACTGGAGGAAAAGGCCAAACAGCTCAAGCAGAGAGAGGAGTGGGGAGGAAAATGCTAAAACACAGCTCTAATCTTGATTACTACTGTAAAAATAAATCTTCAGCTATTAATTTTATATGCAGAGCATGCCAGATTCTCAAATTAACCAGAGGAGATTCCTTCACTGACAGCTAGGAAAAAGATACACTTTTGTGGAGGGTTGAAAGAGAAGCATTAAAAATTACTACTATTGATTTAAAATGCAGATATTTTTAAATTTGGGGCACAGCAATTTTGAAGTGTCACTGGGTATATTCATCCCTGAAGTGTTGTCCCCCAGGCTTTGAGCAGTGTTGGTGCAGAGAAAGCAGCATTTCTGTGAAATCTACAGTCATAATGAAGGCTGGAGCCTTGGGAACAGAAAGGAGGGCAGTTTATATGCAGGGGTGGAGGAGAAAGAGAGGAAACGGATTGCTCCGGCTCCTCAAATCCACAGACAGTGCCCGGGGCCTCCACTGGGGGGCAGGCTTCTAAGCTGGGAGCTGGGGAAACACAAACAGGCTCAAGACTGCCTGTGCCACCCCCACTCCCTGCTCTCACGGGAGCTCACTGTGGGACACAGAAGACAGGAACCTCTACAGAGGTATATAGTGATCGAATCTCTGCGGGACTCTGGTGGAGAGGCACGGAGAGCTATCCCCTTCTCCAACAGCTTATGGAACCTTGGAAAACAGTGCACAAACCCACACAAAATCACGTCATAGCAACGTGCTCACGGGATAGCACGATGAGGAAGAAAGGCTGACAGTGTGTGGGACAGGCGTGGCTGCTAGGTGAGCCTGGAGGGCGGTACACATGCTCGAGGTCACGGTGATGGAGGGATTTGTGGCAGATACGGAACCTGAGCCACAGCATGAAGAGCAGGCTCGGTGGACACAGAGCAGGAGCAAGGTCAGGAAGCCACCAGCCGTGGGAGAAAGGACACACGTGGGACAGGTGGCGAGGAGGCCAGCACTAACCAGCAGGCCCCTTCTCTCCCCTGCTGGTCTCTGAACCCGTACTTACGGGGAAAGCTGGGTTCCCCATGGGCACTTCCGGTTCAGCTGTCTACATTCTTTAAATGGGTGGTTGGAAAGTTGGGGTTTGCAAGGGTGAGGGCAAAACAGCAGAGAGATTAATCAAGAAAAGCGAAAGTAAGAGCAGTGGTCCTGTTCAGCCCTGGGGTCACAGAGAAGCCCCACACCTGGCTCTGTGCTGGTGGGGACACTGCCACCCGGGCCACTTGCACGCAAATATCTGGCATGGTGTCAAAGTTTCTTATTAATGTAACAACTCTTTTGAAAGAATTATTGGGGAAAAAATTAAGTGGGTGAATACAAGTTTTGGCCAGATTATGAAAGCTCCCCAAAGCTCAATTTAAGACTATCTAGAATTTTTCATATCTAGAATAATTTCGGAGACAGTGTGGTAGCAGGGGTGACAGGACACAGGACTCCCACAACTGCCCTGGCATGCCCTACCTGGAGTTCCCCATGCCACTCACCTACACCTGTTTTAGTCTTTAGACAATGGGCAAGCATAAATTGAAAATATAAATACTAAGTTAAGCAAAAGAAACTAAAGGGATAGAAAAAATATACCAGAAAAATATTAATCAAAAGAGAGTGGTTTACTGATTTTGATTTTTCCTTGCTGCTTTTCCTGAGTTCTAAATAAATTCTAGTTATCAGCTCTTTATTGGATGTGTAGATTGTAAAAATTTTCTCCCATTCTGTGAGTTGTCTGTTTACTCTCTTGACAGTTTCTTTGGCTGTGCAGAAGCTTTTTAATTTGATCAAGTCCCATTTATTTATTTTTGTTGATGGTGTGATTGCCTTTGGGGTCTTCTTCATAAATTCTTTGCCTAGGCCAATGTCTAGAAGAGTATTTCCAATATTTTCCTCTAGAATTCTAATAGTTTCACACCTAATGTTAAAGTCTGTTACCCAGCGTGAGTTGATTTTTGTGACAGGTGAAAGGCGTGGGTCCTGTTTCAGTCTTCTACATGTGGCTATCCAGTTTTCCCAGCACCATTTATTGAATAAGGATTCTTTTCCCCAGTGTATGTCTTTGTCTGCTTTGTCAAAGATTAGTTGGCTACATGAGGATGGTTTTATATCTGGGTTCTCTGTTCTGTTCCACTGGTCAATGTCTCCATTCTTGTGCCAGTCCCAAGCTGTTTTAATGACTATAGCCTTGTAGTATAGTTTCAAGTCTGGTAGATTGATGCCTCCTATTTTGTTTTTATTGCCTAGGATTGATTTTGCTATATGGGGTCTTCTCTGGTTCCATACAAAGTGTAAAATTATTTTTTCTATATCTGTGAAAAATGATGATGGTATTTTGATAAGGATTGCATTGACTCTGTAGGTCACTTTGGGTAGTATAGACATTTTAACACTGTTGATTCTGCCGACCCATGAGCATGGTATATTCTTTCACCTATTTACATCCTCTGCTATTTCCTTCTTCAGTGTTTCATAGTTCTCCCTGTAGAGGTCTTTTACCTCCTTAGTTAAATATATTCCTAGGTACTTTATATTCTTTGTTGCTATTTTGAAGGGAATCGAGTCTTTGATTGGTTCTCACTTTTACTGTTGTTGGCATATATGAATGCCTGATTTGTGTGTATTGATTTTGTATCCTGAGACTTTACTAAATTCATTTATCAATTCAAGGAGTCTCTTGGTTGAATACTTGGTGGGCAAAGGACATGAACAGAAATTTTTCAAAAGAAGACAGAATAATGGCCAACAAACATATGAAAAATGCTCAACATCTCTAATCATCAGGGAAATGCAAATCAAAACTGCAATGAGATATCACTTAACTTCCAGTGAGAATGGCTTTT